GTCCAGAAGACCTACACAATTTTTTTATTTTTGTTTTTTACCTGGATTACTGAGATGCATCAGGACACTAAAAAGTACTGTGTGTACGACTGACTATATGTAAAATAAATACTTTAGAAATACTAGTAAAAGTAAAAGTAAGAGTTTTACTCACTGATGAGATGGACTTTCCCACTTTCCAATAGGGAAGCCCCACTTGAATGGCGTTCCAATTTAAATTTGTGACTTTTAAGTGGGAAATTCCCACTTCCCAGTACAAGTGGGCTGAAGAAAAAATAGGCAGTGTCCAAACTACGTCAACTTAGTCAAAAAAAAAAAAAACCTCCACCGTCTTTTGTTTTTCAGTTTAGTTTTCTGTCGGTTCATTAAATCCTGGGAAGTCCTCGGCCGGGAACGGTACTCAGACACAGACGTTATTTTCAGGGTTTTTGTCAGAGAAGGAGTCCACAGATTGGGACCGCCCTCGATGTGGGGCAGCGACGTAAGYGGCCGATCAACGCACTTTCAGGAGGAGTCAGCCCCTGAACTGAGACACAGCTTGAGTCTGAAAAATGCAGTGATGGAGATTTTTACCTGACTGTTTTTGAACCGTGTGCAGCGCCACCCAGTGGTGGGAGGTTGTAGTTYCTCAGGTGAAATAATCAACATGCATCATGTGAGACGTRGTTTAGATCAGATCTTTGAAGGTCTCGTGGTCTTGAGTTCGACACATGTTCTACATTAAAATGACTGAATAAATAAATATAATTAACGTCATTAAAACCTGTTTTTAATCTGAAGTAGTGATTCATGTGTAGAGATGTTTAAATGAATGTTTTATTTTTCAGCTGCTCGGGATGATTCTGTCCATCTGCCTATGCAAACACATCGGATCAGAGGATTACACTCAAGTGCCAAAGTACCAATGAGATCCGGACTCACTGGTCCAGGTGTAAAGTTAAAGGATTCCCTTTGGTTTTAATAAATGTTTCTTGTTTTTGTCAGCCTAGTTTTCTTTAAGCACTTTAGAATGTTGTTATTTTGTTTAGGTTTGAACTCCAGATCAGAGCGATGCTGAAACCAAAAGAGAGATTTCTAAAGTAACTGTGGCTTCCAGCTTTAGTTTCCCTTTCAAACGATTGGCTTTTTGTCTGAAAACTGAAGGTCTGACAGGTTCAGTGTGTTTTCCTTTTTATACACCAGTGTTCGGAGTATTTGTGATAAGTTTTTAAGATTTTGTAAATAATTTTAGTGATTACTTGTACGGTTTTGATTCTACCAAACCTTTCTGATGATGTTTTGTTTTTAACCGTCTGGTCTCCATGAGTTATGAAGCAGTTTGACCTTCAGGGTTTTATTTTAACTGACATAAATCTTCTTGTTCCTGGAACTSTTCTAGTTTACAACTGCAGCCGATATAAGCTTAACAAACCAGCTGAACTCCTAAAATACAAATAATTTTTGTTTCAAACTAAAGTCACCTGATGGAAACAGATGTGTTTATCTCCACTTCCTTCTGTCAGCAGGTGTAACCTGGTGGTTTGTGGGTGAAAAGGGTCTGTCTGGTGTTGTTAATGCATACTCACTTTGTTCTGTTTCATTTTGTCRATAAACTCATTAAAATCCTCTGATTGWTTGTGTGAAATGTTTTGTTCTGGTCTCTGTTGGACCGGACCTGTAGGTTCTGCACAGACTGAAGGTGAGCCCAGGTGGATTTATTTAGACACGTAAACAGTCTGTTACAATAATCTAATCTAATATCGTCAACATACAGACGTTACATTCCTGTAATGTTTTAAAATATCTCCTAAAGAGTATAAATACAATAAAAAGAGGAGTGGGCCAAAAACTGAGCCTGGGGGTACCCCACAAGTTACCGGTGCTCAGTTTCTGTCGGACACAAGAAAACTGCTGGAGCTTAAATGTCTTTATGTAACACATGCTTGAGTTATTAACTTTTATTAGAGTTAGTCCATTTTAAGAAGGTCTTTCATTTTGTCTGTGAGCCTTTRATCTCATTAAAACAATAAAATAAGGCTTCCTGCTGTGATTTACATCTAAAAGTCAGTTCAGTTTATTTCTGTGGCATCAAGTCACAATAAATGTCTCAGGTCTCTGCAAATAAACAAGCAGACTGTGATGAACCTTCACTTCATCACAGTCTCCATCCTGAGCAGCACAATGGTGACAGTGGAGAGGGAAACCAGCAGAACCAGCTAAAACTGAGGGACAGGAAGGAGACAGAGGACTGGTCCAGGTGTATTTACCTCTGGAAGAGAGACACAGAAAACACATTATTCTGACAGAAAACACATTATTCTGACAGAAAACATTATTCTGACAGAAAACATCATTCTGACAGAAAACACATTATTCTGACAGAAAACACATGTTACTGAACAAACAGCAGCAGAGGGAGGAAACAGCCTCAGCTTCAGACCTGTAGATCAGTCAAACTCTTCCTGGTCTCTGAACCAATCAGGAGCAGCTCTCAGCTCTTTGATGTGACTCGTTCACACRTGTGTAAKGTGACATTTTGTTTGTCGTGTTCCTCTCATCTGTTCAACACGTCCAGGTTCTGGACCGAAGTGTTCAGAGAGCTGCTGACGTGTTCTTCACATGATGTCACTGCAGCATCAGCTGACTCAAACTGAGCTAAAACCTTCAGTCTTCATGACYTCAAGACTTCATGTGGGTCTGAACCTCTGTGCACCATTTGGAGACCCTGACAATGTTGAGAAGTCAGAAAGGATTTTTTTTTATCTCTAAAACTCATTAAAGCTCATTTAGTAAAGATTGAGTTTGATGATGTTTGTAAAGAGGTTTTCTTTCATCTTCCTGATGTTTAAAGATCATTTCTCTTTAGAACTCAAACTGTGAGTCTTCAGGTAAAACTTTAAATTAAAAAACAAGTTGATTCAGACCAGAGTCGGGTCTTTCTGAGGACAGAATCTGCTCGTGGACAGGATCCGTCCATTTGGACCAAAAGAAAACCTGAGCAGAGCTGGGTTRGTTCCTGCAAGTCTGACTAAACCTCTCCACTGCTTCATGAAACGTTTTGATCAGACACGAGCAACAAGAGGATCCTCCATCTTTCTGATTTGATGAAGATGAGAAGGAAGATTAATAATAATAATAATAATAATAATAATTAATAATGATGATAATAATGATAAACTTATATAGCACCGTCCAACACTGCCTTGCATCGACCAAAGTGCTTCACAAGGTAAAACAAATACAATCAAGTCATAAGAAATCAGTACAAGTTAAAAACACAAATTACAATAAAAGAAAGTAAAAATATATAAAATACTAAAAGTTAAACATCAAATGCCCATTTGAATAAGTAGGTCTTCAGTTGGGCTTTGAACAGGATCAGGTCAGAGAAGACGAGAAGGTGCCTGAAACTCATTCCTCCTGTGTTGGAGGCACCTCCCTCATAGGACTGGTCTGAAGTTGTGCCTGGACCAGTGATTCTCTCTGAGGTTAACCACTGGGGGAACAGATTTTCATACAACACCGGTCCCCCCGTCTCTTGCTCTTAAAGCGAGRCACCTCAAGCAGACGTTGACCGGCAGACCACAAAGCTCTGCTGGGTTGGTGGGTTTCCAACAGATCTGAAATGTGGGGTGGTGCTTTAAGATGAAGCAGCTCAAAGAGTCTGGATCCTCTGAACTGAAGGGTTATTCTGGTTCTGGAGCACGTGTCTGTATTTGTCTCTGCTGGACTGAAATGGGCCGTGTGTTTTTGCTGGAACCATCCAGACGTTGTCCTCGTGTGTCGATGTTCTGCTGCAGAGTTGGAGCTCTCCTGTAGGACCGTGTGTGAGTGAAGGTCACGTCTGATAAAAGAGGCTGTGCTTCATCAGACTGAGAGTCCTGTGAACAGAACCAGAACCGGTGAGCTGCAGGACGGCCTGTCAGTCTCACAGTAAGACTCCTGCTCTGTGCCGTCTCCTGAGGGAGGACATGCAGGAGACATGCTGTCCCTGTCCATCACCTCAGCTGCTCTTCCTGTCACAGGGACGTCCTCTCTGCAGGATCCTGATGTTTGGCCTCCAGAGGAGCTGGAAGCACCAGGACCCGGGCTCTGCTCAGGCAGGGGGTTGATGGAAGAGAAGCTTCTGATTGGCTGTGAGGAGTTCTCAATCAGGATTAAAGAAAACATAAAAATATGGTTTGTTTTTGGTGATTGGACTGACGGTGCTGCACAGAACTCATGTCAGGTCTGCAGAAAAACAAACATAAAATACTAATTATTAATCCATGTGAGCCAGCAGATTGTGTTTAATCTATAATCTGCCATCATGAGGRTGGGACGCCAAATATAAAATTAAATGCTAACAATTTTCACCAACATATGTTTCATTATTTATCTCACTGTTCTTACATTTTGCTATTTATTTTACTAAATGTTAAAAAGTGACGTCTGTCTGTTAATATTTGACCCATAATCCTGATCAGACTGTGGTTTCTTTGCACCATGAATACAYCTCAGAGTGTTTCTAAATGTTTGTGCAGACAGCTTCAGTTAAATCAGCTCGTTCTGTTTAAAACAAAATAAAAACTTTTAAAATCAGCTCAGCTGCTGCAGGTTGATGAAACCGATCCAACGGGTCAGAGGCCCAGAGGCATAATGGCTCCACTGACCCGTCCCCTCAGCTGTCGATAAGAACCGAACCACGCTTCAGTGAAAACACCGAGCTGCACGGCTGGAACACATCAGCCCCCTGAGCTTTTATCTTCTGACGAAGAGGAATTTAAATTTATTTAAAATTTACACTTTGTATTAAGTTTCCAAAAATTCCAATCACATTTTTATGATTTCATACAGTGGATAAACTTTAAACTAAAACTGGTGTACCACAAGGTTCAGGCCTGGGTCCACTGTCTTTTTTAGCCGCAGTGTCAGTTGATATGCAGATGATGCAGCTCTCTAATGTCTGTCTATCAAACTTTATGTCTAAAATTTTAGTCAGCTGTTGTTCTGTTTTTTATTTATTCTTTTTGTTAATGACTTAAACAGCAGATGTTTGGACCAAACTGGGTCCAACAGAACAATGATCCCAGTGTGTATCAACCTGTATCTGAGACACGTGAACTGGACCTGAGGTGGTTGCTGATGATTTTCCACCCTGGTGTTTTGTTAATGAACACCTGTAGATCCAGAGGTGAAAACAATGAAGATGATTGGATCAGTGGAAACTGAACCTCCTGAAGCAGCTGAGTCATTTTTCTTTAATCACTAATTGTACTTTTGTACTGTTATTTTTAAAGTTCAATTTAACACTAAGAAATTATATTATATCCTGTTTCCAAAAAGAAAAAAAAAAGAAATATTTACTGAATCATTTGACAATTTGTTGCTGTGGTTTTAGGATTAACTGAACAATATTTCAGTCAACTCTGATTGTTTTAAATGTTCTTTATAATTTATAAATGAAGTCACTTGATTGTGTTACCAGAACAACTAGAGGCTACTTTTATTCTGACAAGTTCAACTGAAACTGTGTGGATTTTCAGCTTTTATTTTGAAGGATCTAGCGGAAGTTGTGTTGACAGTTTCAGTTTTCATTCTGACAGGTATTTTCAGCTTTTATTCTGAAGGGTCCAGCGGAAGTCGGGTGTCAGTCTGACGGAGCGGACCGGTGAGCTGCAGGCTGTTCATCAGCTCGGATCAACAGTTCCGGTAAGTTCGCGGGTTTTTACCACCTGGAGGCGGGTTAATGAGACAGATTATAGAGTTAATGAGTTTAACTCGGGTTTAATTAACTCATGATTGGTTGATCATTAATTAAAATAAACTCAGGATGTTAATGAGTTTAACTTAGTTTAGTGGTTCAGCTGTTTTATAAACAAASTTTATTATTTAAAGTAAAGTTAGTTTTTGTCTGAGTGTTAATATTTATTAACACCGGAAATGTTCCTTTCTTTATTTAAACTGAATTATTAAATCTGTCAGGATTTAATAAGCCTGAACCWGAAGTAAATAATTTAAGGTTTGTTTAAAGACAAACAGCTGATTGTCTGAAGAACACTTTTAATCACATTTGGTCTTTTAGATATTTTTATTTTTTGTTTTTCAGGTGCTAATTAACTGTTTTCTAAACTGATTATTTAAACATTTATTTTGCTCCATCATGCAG